GGAGAATATCATGATGTTCTTCGTGAAGCAGCACGACAAGACAACAATACTTTTCCCATACAACTTTGAGTAAGTGTTAATAATAATGTAGTCTACATATTTTATGTAATATCAATACAACTTATATGCATGTACGTGTGTGTATAAACCAATGCAGGTTTCACTGGATACTCATTGTCATTGAGTTAAACTCAAGTCGGTTAGTAATCTTTGACTCGTTGAGAAAAGAGCGGGTACTATACCAAGATATGATAGACATTATCCAGGGGTAATTTCGATCTCTCGCGCACAACTATTATTGAATAGACTTTGCCATAATTTATTAACGATCGTACATTATTGGTCGCACAGGGTTTGGAAAGAGTTTATTCGGCAACATCGCAAGGATTGCGAGGCACCACTTAATGTAGTTGAAATACCAGTAAGTTGTACTATATACACTTCCCCACGTGTTTAATTACTATATCGTACTTCAATTTACGTGTGAGATGATGAGAATAATCTTTTCTCGTACAGTGGTGTTTGCGGCAGCAACCAGGTAATAACTTGTGTGGATACTACGTTTGTGAATTTATCACTGCGCACATAAGAAGAACTCCTAAAGATGTCCTCAGAGTACGTATATATCAATTTTTTATTTATTTTTAAATGAATATATATATATATATATGTGTGTATTAATACTTTCCCTTTTATTTCAAATGCAAGACTGAATGGTTGAAACAAAGGGTCATGCAAAAAGACCATCTAAAAGCAGTTCAAGAGTCAATAGCAGGATTTCTTCTAGAAAAAGTGCTAAATCCCAACGGCGAGTTCTACTTTGATCCTAAGGAATAAATGATGTAAATTAAATGTTTATTGATATCATTATTTTTGAGAACAAGATTATGAAAGTGTTGTATATATACATATATATATATATAATATATATAGGTTCATACTTTATTCGAATATAATAATGCTCGAGATGAGAATTAGATGTAATTATATGCGTGCGTGTATTTATATTAGCAGCGTAGAATACGTACATAAAAACATATTATATATTAAACAAATATGTGTAACTGAACTGAAAACAAATTAAAAAAAAAAAGAAAAAGAAAAGGAACCTTTAGTCCCGGTTGGGGTTACACTTGATGACGTAGGTGCCTCCGTACTGGTGCGCCCAGCATATCCAGTACTGGGAATACATGGTGGACAAGTGGTTGGAGCCCGGGTGGGTGGAGACGCACAACGCTTGCCGGGACCGGCGTTTGCTGATGCCCACATGCATCACACCATCAAAGCAGCCTGAGCCTCGACGAATACAGGGCAAAATGGGTACGCGAATTCATTTCTTTATTCTAACGCTCAATTCTGCATAATTTCTAATTATTTTGCATTTTTGCCACGGTCGTCATCACATGATGGCCAGCCTTGCTCCTAGTTCAAGGCATGGTTTCTGTCCAAAAAGGGCAAGGCGACGGCAAACATCGACTTCAACCCGGAGGACCCATCCGAGGCGTACAACGATCCCAGCATCCACAGCCGCGTCAGTGAGTACACAGCAATGGCAAGGCAGGTTCATGGGCCACAGTTCGATCCGAGCACCCAAGATCTTGATGAAGAAATCGTGATGAGGGTGGGAGGAGGCAAGAAGCATGGCTAGTACTGAATTGGCGACAGTACAATCGACATGGCCTCTACTCCCACTCTCTCCTAGATCCGAGCAAGGAGTACGAGCTCGAGCCCGGCGATACGTCCACGGCCAACCGCTACACAGTTCCAGATTTAGGCTCTCCAGGTTATTTCTGTTTTATTCATCGTTTGTTGATTGTTACGTACTTTAGCTTTGCATTGTAACATTGGGATGAAATGTTATAGGCCCGGATGGAGGCGAGGATGGAGGAGATGATTCAGCAGAGGGTGGTGGCCGAGCGGCAGAATATGGAGGAAGAACAACGGTGGACGATGCAGAGGATAGATGAAGAAAATCGGTTGAGGATGGAGTAAATGTTCCAATCCATGCAGAATTTTGCATCGAGTATGGGTAAGCTTTGACACCGCCACCGATGCTATTCTCTCCACCTCAGCCACCCACAACTACTCCTGTGAGTCACTTGACATCTTATACTGTAGATTGAATACTTTGACTTAGAGAACTTTAGATGTTAGCTCAAAATGACTTAGAGAACTTTAGAGTACATAGGCAACCAGTGAGATAGAGACAGAGAATATGCAAGGTTAAGATAAGCTTAAAATTTCCTTTTTCTCCTTTGAATTTTGTAGTGCACAGATCATCACTCATTTCCTTTGCTTTTATGATATAGTGCTAATAACAAGAAATTAACCATTAAGTGAACATGACTAGCCCTTTTGTGTCACTGAACAACCTAGATCACACTATGTAGCAGTTAAGCATACCATGTATCCAAAAATAGCTGGCATTAGTTTGTACTTTTTAGATGTGATCACACTACTGCACAAGGACTGGGTGTTATTGCAGTGTCTAGTGTATGGATGATCACACTATGGACAGGCAGCCTGTAGGCCTGTGCACTAGTTTGCAAATCAGCAAAACACAGACTTCAATGGCCTGCTCGCTGCTACTGCACATGGCCTGCACTCCCATTGGCATGGCCCTGCCAGCTCCAGCTTCTAACTCTAAGCCCCCCACTGCATGGCTTAAACTAATACTAATAGGTAAGATATACTAACTGAACATGCATGGGTCGGATTGCAGTGAGTTTTTTATTAGTACTATATATACTTATGTGCAAGTATTTTTTCAAGACACTACTTATACTTTCTGATTGCAGTGAGTTTTTTATATCTGTAGCTTACACATGTAATCTCTTCTCTTTTGTGCAGAATCAATCGGCGGCATCAAATAATCAGTCTCAAGACCCGGATTTGTCGCAGTGGTTCAAATCAGCGGGGAAGATACCGTTGGTAAAAACTAATTTTGTACTCCCTCCATTCCAAATTGTAAGTCGTTTTTGCTTTTCTACATACATAGCTTTTGTTATGAATCTAACTATCACTACCGGATACAAGAGCTTTGCCGAGTGCCAAGGGCACTCGGCAAAACCCCAAAAACACTCGGCAAAGCATTTGCCGAGTGTTACCTCGGCAAACGACACTCGGCAAATGTTTTATCGGCAAAGAGTTGTTTGCCGAGTGTCAAACGTTGGGCACTCGGCAAAGACTATGCCGAGTCAAAAAAAAACACTCAACAAACATTTTTCGGGAAAAAAACAAGTCACCGCCCACCACCACCGCAGCCGTCGGCCACCACCGCTGCCACCACCACCACAGCTGCCGGCCACCACCACCATCACGCCCCGACGCTGGCCACCACCACCACCACCACCAATGCCACCGCCGCCACCACCACACCACGCCGCCCGCCGCCAGATCCGGCCACCACCGGCCAGATCCGGGAGAGGGAGGGCTGAATCCGACCGGGAGAAGAAGAAGGGGAGGGGAGGGGCTGCCGCCATGGAGCCCGCCGCCGCCGCGTTGCTCGCCGTGGAGCCTGTTCGCTGGAGGGCTCCTAACCGTCAGATCCACAGGTCCACCGCCACTGGGATCCAACCCACCGGATCCGCCGCCGAGAGGACACCTCTCCGCCGGATCCGCGCCGTGGTGGCTCCATCCCACCGGATCCACGATGCCACCCATCGGTGGAGCCAAGGAGGGAGGGGACGAGGGTGGATCTGCACTGCCACCCGCTGCTGCTGCCTCCGATCGCCGGGAGGGGACGAGCCGCCCTGCGCCATAGACGGAAGGGGCTGGGCTGCCTCGCGCGCGGCTGTGAAGCCACCAAGCGCCGCCACCGCCCTGCGCCGACGAGCCGAGCCGTGCTGCTCCCCTGCTTCCCCCTTCTCCCTCCGCTCCGCATCTCTGCTCTGCTCTCCCTTTCTCCCCCAGCTCTGCCCTGCCCTCTTCTCCCTTGTTGCTGCGCGCGGACAACAGGGAAGGACTGAAGATGTCGTCCGCCGCGCCCTCGCCTTGCTCCATCGTGCCGCAGCAAGCACCGCTGCCGCCCCTGCTCTGCTTCCCTGCTCCGCTCTCGCCCTCTCACATGCCAAGCGCCGCCGCCGTAGACTGCCCCGGCCGGCTTGCCGCCCCCGGGACCGCCGCCTTGCCTTCCTACGCCGGCGCCATGCACTTCCGCCTCGCCCTGCTTGCTTTCTCCTTGCCGTCTCCGTCTCCTGCTCTCTGTTCTCTCTTTTTCTCTCTCTGAAGTCGGTGCACGTGGATGGGAAGGGATGAGGCAGCACCGAAGGCACCCAATGACCAGCTCCCAACCACGTCACAGCAACCAATAGGAGCCGGCCACTTCGCCCATGGACCCCGCATGTCATTGGCTCTGCTTACCTCTCCTCCTTTCTGTAGACTTGGAATTAAGTAGATTTTGTCCTTTGCCGAGTGTCCTAGATCTGGACACTCGGCAAAGTTTTTTTTTTTCATTTTTTTCTCCTTCTTTTCAGAAAAAAGATTTTATTTCTTTGTCGAGTGCAAAAAACAAAACACTTGGCAAAGTCCCTCTTTGCCGAGTGTTTTTTTTGACACTCGGCAAACCTCCTCTTTGTCGAGTGTTTTTTTTGCCGAGGGTTTTTAGCGTAGCACTCGGTAAAGAACTTGTTCGCCGAGTGCCCAAGGAAAACACTCGGCAAACATAAAAACACTCGGCAAATTTAACGTTTCCGGTAGTGTATACACTATGTCTAAATATATAATAATAAAATTTATGTATTGAGAAAAGTCAAAACGACTTACGATTTAGATCGGAGAGAGAGTAGCCATGAACCACGAATATTCACATCACAGAGTGAGTAGTACACGGATATTCTGTAACTATAAATGTATAATATTCTGTAACTAAAAGGATAGTGAGTAATAAAGTGTGACCACGTTTGATTATGACCTTATATGAGCTTACTTGTCTATGTAGTATTTGGCTGGGTTATGATGATGTGAGCAACACCAAGATGCATGAGCATGACAAAATATCCTCAACCAGCTGTGGACTCGCATGATACCCGCAGCAGCTCGTCCAAGTAATCGGTGCCGAGGTCCTCGAGCTCAATGACGCTGCAGCAGCACTGGCAGCTGAGCGCAGTCACCTGCTGCTGTGGCGGCGCTGCCATGGACACGATGGAGCTGCTGGACACGTCGTCGGAGAATGGATTACTACTGCCGTTGGTGACGGTGGCCACAGCGGAGCTCGAGATCATTTTGCACCGCCGGCGGCGCCTGCGCTTCCGCTTGCAGTGCCGCCGCTTCAGCGCGAGGACGGGGGACCCCACCGTACCGGCGAGCTCGAGCGGCGCCAGGGACGCCCGGACGCGGTCCACGGGGAAGTTGAGGACGGCGGTGGAGCCGCGTGCGGCGAAGGCGGCCTGGTCGTAGGCGAGCGCGGCGGCCTCGGCGGTGTCGAAGGTGCCGAGCCACACGCGGACGCCCCGGCGCGTGGAGTCCCGGATCTCGGCGGCGAACGTGCCCCATGGCCTCGGTCGCACCCCAATGAAGGCGGTCTCCAGCTTCTCTCCGCGTGGCCAGGTGTCGGCCGTTGTCGGCCTGTGCGGCTGGTCGTCCGACATCTTTGGCGATGCCATTATTCCTACCTTACCGGAGCACAACGACGACGAAGGGATAGAACTGAAGCACTCCTTGGCGGCCGAAGCGTCATGGTTGTCCATGGGGAGCGAGAAGCAACGGGTCGGGGCAACGTGACAGGGGTTAGGCAGGGCAGGTGCATGCATGCCAATGGTGATCGTCTTGCCCAAGAAGGAAGCTGGTGGTGGCCGGTATTTATATCCTGTTGGACTGCTCTACCGTACGTATGTGTGTTTTTTCGATAATGTTCCCAAATGGGCGTCCGCAGTGGCGGAGCCAGGATTTCACAGCTGGGTATTCCGCGTACAAAAAAAAAATTCAATACAAATGTGCAATAGTAATAATCAAAGTACAAGATCTGAACATAGTAGTATAGTGCCATTGTCTATAATAATTAACAAAGATTACAAAACATCAAAAGCTCAAAACTACTAAAATTGAACTCTACGATCCTCTTTTTGGAATTCATTAATGATATCATCATCTTTCACTTGACTGAAGAATTCTCTCTCAATAAATGTGACCAAGCAATTGTTCAAAATATTCATCACCCATTTTATTCATTTGCTTGTTCTTTACATAATTCATGGTGGAAAACACTCTCTTAACACTAGCCGTGGCTATAGAAAGAATTAGCACTAACTTAAGAAGCTTGTAGACAACGTAATACTGCTCATGTCTTTTTGTGCTAACAAGCATGACTGAAAGCTCGCGTAGGTTCTTCAAATTTTTAAACCTTTCGTCTCTACGCACCTAAGAAATATACACATTGAGATGATATGCAAGTTGGGAAACTGGGAGCGACGGCCAGGAAAACAATGCGACCCTTTTTTGTTTGGTGTAAAGGATGTTAACCTTTCTGGCTTACCAATACTGTATGTTACTTCATCATGTGGTGATTTTTTTTCTTTTCCTCTGGTTTCGATTTGATCCGTGTCAAGTGCTGTACTACGCAGAGCATCCTCTGTTTTTGTTGTTGTTGCTGCTCTGTTTCGTTGTCCATGGACCATCATCATGCTTGCCCAGTTGCCAATTGCCATGGTTTGTGGCGGATCTGAAAAGATGCCCGTGTGCATGCAATGCAATGCAAAAGCTCGCATTCAACATCGACGACGACGAGGCGATCTGCCACGTTTTCCGAGGTGGACACGCTTTACTGTCCGTATTGATGAATGCGCGGTGGGTGGCGTCATGGCAAAGATAAAAATCCTACAAGCATGAATGCATGCAGTACCAAGATGAGGTACGGAGCGTGCTGCCTGCCACTCTGTCTCTCTGCTGCTGTAAAAAGAAAAGCTTTTTTTTTCTTTTTCGTTCGGCAGAGAGCTGCAGACTTGCAGAGGCAGAGCAAAAGCTCTCGGTTGAGCAATGCCAATGCATGCATGCCATCAGCTTTTTGGTCGTTGGTTGCGACGCGCGACGCAACGCAACAATCGCTGGAGCTGGCGACGCCTTTGCCATCGTGCCACTGCCAAACACAATGTATATGTATTTGTGTTTGTTTGCAGAATCTTGGGTATTCCATGGCATACAGGGGAATACCCCTGGCGCCGCCCATGGGCGTCCGTCCGTCCGTCTGTCTGGACGTCGCGTGCCCGCTCCGCCTCGCCGCTGCCGCCTCGCCCGCTGCGTGTCCCATCCTGCGCCTGCGCCGCTCGCTCCTCGCTCCCGCCCATCGCGCGCCCCACCCACGCCTCTCGCTCCTTGTCACGCGCGCCGCTCGCTCCCGGCGCGTGGAGTCCCGGATCTCGGCGGCGAACGTGACCCACGGCCGGGGCCGCACCCCAATGAAGGCCGCGGGGTCCCGTGACGAGGTGTCCGTCGTCGTCTGCCGGTGCTGCTGGTCCGACACCTTATTTGGCGACACCATTGTTCCTGCTGCCTTATTACAGCTACAGGAGGACGACGACGAAGGGACGACGATGCAACTGAAGAACACCTCGCTGTCGTCGTCGTAGTCCATGGCGAGCGAGAGGAAAGCGGCCGGCCGGCGAGCTACAGTGGAGGTGCTAGCCGGAATTTATAGCCTGCCCTGTTGCGTTCGCTATACGACCGTACTGTACGTGACATGAAAGTTGACGAAGCCTCTCTTGTCATCCTCACCTCGATCGAGTCGAGTAAGTGAAACACTCCTGCTGAATCGGAAGATGTGGCATGTTGCAAACTCCTCTCATAATCTGATACAGTATCATAGGTACGAACCGTACGAGAGATAGTAGCAATAATAATATCCCAAGGAAGTACGGCAATTCATTACAAAACATGAATTAGCTAAAATACCCCTGTGTGAAAAAATATAGAGCCAATAATAGCCACGCAGAGCAAAGGTAGTGTTAAGATTAATAATTTTGTGATCAATTAGTTAATTAGATAGTTAATCCTGTCATTAGCAACTACTAATGACGGTTCCTATGGAGGCACCTTTTGGATCCCGTGGAGACACCTTTTGGTCAACAGCCAACTGTCCTTTGGCCTGTAATATATACATGTACACTTTTCATCATCAATAGACATTGGTTATTTTCATCCTGACACTTTTCACTCATAATACTTTATCAGACACGCTCGCTCACTACTGACGCGAATAGGAGAAAGGGAAAGGAGAGAGTTCGCCGGAGAAGGAATCACTGGCATCGCTACATCCAAAGGTAGAAGATGACGACTCCTGTACCTTCCCCCATGAATGCGATGGTCGATTCCATCACCGACACCGCTGGCCCCCCTAGCGCTGCCATGGAACGGAGGCGGTGGCTCCATGGCCACGCACCGTAGCGTCCCTTTGCTCCCCAACCGCAGCGTCGGCGCGGAGATGTGGCCGACCGGCTTCGCCTACGACGTTGACATTGACCTCCCGCCGCCACCTCCACCAACCGGACCGCGCTCCTACGCCGACGTGGCAGCCAACCGCCGTCATGTCCTGCGCCGAAACGCCCTGACACTCGGAAACGCCCTCAGAGCCGGGTTCGTCTCCTCCTCAGACGAGGAGGGGGCGGTTCCCCTCCTCTGAGCGGCCTGGGAAGGGCCGGTGGGGGCGGATCCACCGTTCCCGGCTTGCAGCGATGGCCTCCGTGGCCGGAGCTCAACGGAAATGGCCGGGTTCTTCCTCGTCGGCCAGCCTCCACGGCCAGTGCATGGGCCTCAGCTTGCGCCCGCCATGGGAGGAGGAAGAGGAGGCACAAGACGGTGGCTTCACTCATGCAGGTGGCATGAACAACGACGGTGGCGACGGCGGTGGCCAGCATGGTAGCAGGCGGCGGTGGCGGTTGAGGATTGGGCGGTTAGGGTTTCCAAACCCTAACTGTCGGCCTTAAGTAACCCGCGTGCAGGCGCCTAGCTGGGCTGAATGTGCAGCCCAGGCCTAGGTTGAGGCTTGGCTGCTCGCGCTCATGCGCCTAGCGGGGCCGCGCAACTGGCCGGCTGCTGGGCTGCGCGCCTGGCTGGCTGGCTGGGCTGCGCCTTGCCACCGGCCCGCCTGGGCTGACTTTGCCCTGTTTTGATGCCTAGGAATTTTATTTCTTAGTTATTTTTCTTTTGAGCAGTAGTACAATTAATTAGCATATGGTTTAGCTAATTTCATTTTCTAAAAGAACATCAGTTATTTGTATTGTTTGATGTTGCTCTAGACCTGCTATACATTGTCATTGTATATATATATATATGTGGTTTGGTTTTATTATATTACAAAACAATATGTGATTCTATTATATTTTGGAGTATGTTGGTGCATCCAAACCCAATTTTGCACCACATACATATTACACTTGTGACTTTGATTATTAAATTGGAATATGTTGGTGCACCCAAATCACCTATTTTGCACCAACATATATGTTGTATTTGTAATTTTATAATAGAATTGGGTATGTTGGTGCCCCCAAACCCCTTTTTTTTCCATCACATACATGTTAAATTAGCTAGTGACTTAGATGCAATTTAACAAAGTTATCCATAGAATTAGAAAACTTTAATTACTGTAGGTTTAAAATTGCAATATATATCTTAATTATTATGGTTAAATAACACAAAGTAATGGAGTCTATGGCATTGGCTGCGTTTAACTCCTTGTCAATTATCCTGCCTAGAGACCGTGCCATAGCACTGATCAAATCACCCGTTACTAAGAGGTCTACATCATGTTTCTGTGAAACTTGATGATTATCTACACTGTGTTTTTACCCAAAATAATGGTTTTAGTCTACATCCACGTGATGATTACCATTTTCATCTTATTATTTTGCTATTACACAAGATGGTAGAGTCCTAAGCAATGGCTACGTTTTATTAACTTGTGAATTATCCTACCAAGAGACCGTGCTTAGGCAGCAATATATTTGCCTACTATAAAGATCTACTCTTTGTCTTTGACTTAGAGACTATCTGTCTTGTGTATATAAAAAAAATTATGATGATTTATTGTATGGTCTATACAATTTTGTGATTACCTACAACATTCTAAAACTATGATAAGATATAAACTTTAAAAATATTGCATTTAGTATTACAACATTACCATGTTGATTTTAATTTACCATACGGTAAATTAATTAATCCATGGTTTTCCATGTAGGATCATGGCCACCAAGAAATTCGAGAAACTCGCGTTAAATGGTAGTAATTACCCTACATGGCTTCTAATATCAAGATGGCGCTTGCATCTCGTAATCTTTTGCCTAGTATTTAGGAACCCCAAACCGGGGTTGTCATGCAAGGTAAGTAAACCTATACTGCTTTATCTTTGCTACGGTTTTATATTCATAAAGACCTTAAATCTGAATACCTTATGATTGAAAATCCTCGCGAATTATGGGTCGCTCTTAAAGAGCGATATGAACAGCAAAAAGAACTTATTCGGCCTAAGGCCAATCATGAATGGAATCATTTACGTCTCCAAGATTTTAAATCTGTGGCAGACTAAAATCACGCTGTTCATAGGATTTGTTCTAAGTGGAAGTTTTGTGAGAAACAGCCAACGGATGCAGACAATGTCACACCCAATTTTAAGGATAAAATTGAATGCACTAACTCATGTGTGCCCAAGGATCAATCACACACACAAGCTGACAAATTATAAAAGAGTATCATC